AAAAAACCAAAACAAAACAAAAAAAAACACCCCACAAAAAACTTTCTTCAATGACAGACTACAGAAAGTTCATTTACCTCTCAGAAATAAAAACATGCATATTTTGTTTCACAGTTTTCTGCCAATTCCATCCTGATCAGTGTAGCTTATGCCTGCCCCAGGAAAGCCTGTTTCTAGGCTTCCCATGCTGTTTCATAGTCCTAAGAGCATCAGCATAAAACCAACAGCTTTTAGCCCTACATATTTGTTTTAATTTCATGTCCAGAAATATTTCTGCTATAGAAATCTTATTTTAGCTTGCTGTTTTATATGATAAATCTGAAAGTGCAGGGGAGAACGCAATAACAATGAATATAATTTCATTCCATTATTTAATCTATTTAAAATACAAGTCTTTTCCAGGGCTGTATTCATTGTTTATAACTCAACAATAGTTTACAGAGTTGAAAATTATTATTTGCAATTTTTTTCAAGTAGTATTATTAGTAGTATTAATAGAATTCTATCCACAGAGAGAAAAGGTATTTATTTATATCTGTATCTTCTACACTGTTAAAAGTTAAATATTTAGAAGTATTTGGAAGAGAAAATAAATAATTTACATGTAACTAAGGGGAAAAAAAAGCATTTGGAGGTGCTAATTCACACAGCAAGAATCAAACAAAAAGCAATTAGACTACAGCATGCAACCACTCCAAGTGGTGATTGCCTGCTCTGACAAGTCACCTTTAACCCATCTTAGCAGACAGAAGAGAAGCACTTCAAGACCCACCATGAAAGTCCGTGGTTGCAGTGGCAAGCTCTTGTATTCTAGCAGAGGCCCAGGTCACTCATTCCTGACTCTCCCATGTAGCATGTTACTATAGTCTCCTCCAGAAGGCTGTTTCTCAAAGCTGGCTGGCCAATAGTTTATCATGCTAACCATCTTCAACTAGTAAGTGAGATCATAAAATGAAAAGCAAGTCTGTGGTATGACAGATCAATGGCAGCACTAAGATCTTAATTTGACTAGGCAGAGGCTAATTAAGGGGGTTGGAACTAGATGATCTTTCAGGTCCCTTCCAACTCTAACCATTCTATGATTCTATGAAATGATCACCTGGGAAGAATAACATTTAAAGAGAGTAACATCTGTGACCAGCAGACAAGTAGAGGAGAGAGTGGTTTCAGGAGCCCCAGAAGTTTGATAGAAGATTTTACAGAGAAAGCTGAAAACCAGAAATTGATAGACATTTTTACCTTTGTAAGTTTCCTTCCTGACCAAATCTGGAGCTCTTTATAACTCTGAGTTTCTGAATAAGAAGTGCTAGACAGCACTTTTATGTAGCAAGACTTTTGATAACACTTGATAACATTTGTCCAACTGTTAAGAGCCCTGTCTCCAGCTGTGGCTAATCACAAGTGCTTCAGATGGAGAAAATGAAAGAAAAATCCACAAACTATATCTAACCATCATGTATATCAGAGAAAAAACAAAACAAAATATCTTCTGATTACTGTTGTGGGTCAACAGTTGAAACTCTGAAGCATAAGAGCTGGTTGTAAGCATTCTAACAAGCTGCAAGCGTTATGAACCTATTAAGGACAAAAAAGGCTTTTTCTTGTTCATTCCAAGAAAAAATTGCAGTCGTAAGGGGAAATGCTTAAATGCCAGAAAGACCACCATGACCATTTACCCTGAAACTCATCTCTTCCTCTCAAAAAGAAATAAAAACATCGTTCAAAACAGCATTAATAAAAAAGCATATATCTGTCTAAAACACTGAAATACCCTCAACACACTTCAGAACGACTTACTTCAGAACTTAACTTGTTTCACTCAGACAACCAGAAATTGGATCTAGTTTTGACTTTGACAACAAGGTCTACAAATCCCACAGCACCACATACCTTTTCCACGTGTAAGTAGCTGTTCAGAACAAGTCAGTCACCTCTCAGTATTTTCTTCAATAAGGAGCTGGACCTACACAACTTATACCACGTATTAGCTTGTTTCTTCCAAAACATGGACCATTTTTATGGCTTGTTTTGAGGTGTCTAGTATTTCTGTATCTTCTGAAATATGAACAGAACTGGACACGCTATTATAAAACCATACAGAAACAAGATCGTATCTCTTCCTCTAAGCTGATGCTGTCCTTTTCACATAGCCAAAGATTAGCAATGTGGTTTTTTTCCGCAACACTGTGCTAAGAACTTACACTGACTGTGATGCATAATTTTCCTAATGCGTTCCAAGAGTGTTTCTTCATTATTTTTCTTTTGAAATCTTTCATCTATATGTACAATCCATACTTGCCTGGATTCAAATGTAATTTGTTAAATTCAAACCATTTAAACAGATAATTGAGATCAGTATGACTAATCTTTCCTTTTCATTAATTCAGTGCTTTTAATGCCATAAATGATCCTTTTTTACCAACTTCCAGCTCCACAAATGATTTTATCAACTACGTAGTTGATAAAATTAGTGTTTGACCAAACATCTTCTCTAGAAAGCAAACCTTTCCCTTAACAGTGGACAGAAGTATAAAATGCTCACATCAGCGAGCTAATTATTATCATCTAATGTATGCGGTATCAATCCTGCCAATTGCAGAGCTCTCAAAACCTACAGCCCCAGAAAAACTACCTACCATGAAACTATATCAAGTGGCACTAATTACACCTTTTACTATGTTGTCTGTAGTAACAGAACTGCAAATTAGCAACTCTTTCACAGGCATGACACTTGAGTGTTGGAGTTTTGGGGTTGTTTGTTTTTTAAGATTTGGAATTAAACTGGTGATTTCTCAATCATTTGGAATGTTTTCCACTTTCCAAGACTAGTAAACAGTAAATGATGGATTAGGGTGCTTTCTTTATCTAGCTTCTTTAAGAAGTCTGGGATATAAGCCATCCTGGACTACTGATTCTGATTTAGCTGCCTCACTTGCCACAAGCGATATACATTCCTACAGAGCAGAGGCACCTTCATTGTTTCTCTTCAGAACTGTCATTTGTATTCTGCAGTAGGATATTATTCTTATTCTTAGTAGTGTAAAGAATGCTGTACTAGCTTGCTTTCTTTTGGCCACTAAGATTTCAGAGTTTTCTTGGATTTGCTTATTCTTGTGGCTCTCGAACCCTTCCTTTCCTATTGTTGTTAATAGATGCACCTGTGCACACGCGCACACAAAAAAAAGTGATCAATGTTTATACTAGCATACTTCCTCAAGAGTAATACAAAGCTTTCAACAGAAACAAAACAAAGTTAGTATTACATGGTAACATGTACATTTCAGAGTAGTAAAGGAAAATCTGTTGACAACAGCTTTGATTTTTTTTCTCACTAGATTACCAAATACAAGAAGGAAAAAAAAAAAGGAGAGGGAGAGGGAAATAAATCCCTAAGAGAGCCATCAAACTCAAAAACATCTTATTTCAAACATTCATGCACCATATTCTACAGAAAAGTAAATTACCTAAGAAATTTTGAGTGATGAAATGTTTTTATATCAAATATTGAACAAAAACATCATCTGTATAAAATCTTCCCGAGCATTTGGAAGCAGATGATGTTCCTGGTTTTGTTCTAAAACATTATGAAAAATTGAAGCATTCTTTAATATATTTCTTGCTGTTCAAGTCACAAATTCCAGATAATGATGAAAAAGCCCAAATCCTCAACAGTGAAAACACTATTCACTAAACCACTTGATTACTTGTTTTCCTCACCCACCTGGGCCAGCACAAATAAAATTAATAATAAAGTAACAGACATCTATCTACACAAGAGATAACAAACGATTTCTACAAAGAACATTTGAAAGGAATTCAATTATCAGAACATTATTGGTAAACAAGAATCCTGTTATCACATCTAAAAAAAATGAATATCAATTTAAAATACATGCAGGGTAGTCAAGCAAAACAATAACTAAACACATTGAACATCACATTGAGTTCTTTGAATACCATTTTATCAGTTTTGCCTGAAGACAGAAATTACAAATGAACTTCTGATTTAATAATGGATATACAATGCAACTATATTTAGGGCTTATGGTTTCAGACACCAAAATAAAACATGCAAACACTTTTCTGGTTTAAGAATTACATTAAGAAGTGTACGCAAGTATGTCAGAAAGCCAACCCTGACCTAAATTTAATTGCCCCCTTACTCAGAGCTGTATTTAGTAGTCACAGGATAACACAAGGGCTAAGAGATGAGAGTACTGCCACCTCGTGCCAGTCAAGCTGAAGCCTAATGAACAAGACTATTGACTAAAACTAATCCCAGAACATGTTCTGCCTTTAATGTCTGACAGTTATTAGAGATCAGATGCTCAATCTCGAATTATGAAAAAGCGTAACAGTATCGGTCTTTAAGAACATCTTAAACCAGTTCTTTAAATAAAAACAATCAAACTATCTGTACTTAATCAGCATGTCTGGCAGCAACTACTCATTATATTTGCCATTCTAACATCCTGAGTTTAGTCACTCATAACTGTGAAATTTCTATCACCACAGATAAGAGCTTTGGTAATGGATATCAGTTTCAGGCTAAGTCTTTCTGGTTTAGTTTTGGGTTTGTTAAAAAAATTATGATAAACAAACAAACAAAAAGTACATGCGTACAGTTTGACAGTTCAAAAGACATATAAAACTTCTTTTAAAATGCTCTAATACACCCATGCTATAAAAAGGATCATATATTCTTATTGTATAAATATTTGATCACCTGAGTCAGCATAAACTTTAGAAAGTTGAGAAACTTTGTAAAATTTGAGAAATTGTGAAAATTTTCAAGTATACTGACAAGCCCCAAAGAAAAGAATTTCCTTTCAGTCCATTCTTATCTAAAATTCAAGCACTACATCAAACATTACATAATAATGTAAAGAACCTGATTTTTTTTTCTGTTTATTTACTGATAAATATAATTCTGCTTATTGGATATTTCCCCCCAGGAGTCATTATAACAAGCGATAAAAATGTAAGATAAGAGTACTCACCAATATCGTTAGCTAGCGAAGCAGGATCAGAGACCCCAAGGGTGGCTTCAAACTCCTCCTGAAGACGGTAAGCTCTTTGAAGAAGGGATTCAAGCTTATGAATGAATTCAGCACTAATGATATCCTGCAATAAGACAGACATTAGAAGATTTTCTATTTCTTTACAGTTGGTAAGATTCCTTTGTAAAATCTAAGGATATTAAGCCTTCAAAGAGCAATCCATGCCACATTAATTTCCTACAAACCACACAGGGACGCTGACAGGTTAATACTTTAACATCCCAAAGATGCACACTTTTCTAAACATACATATACACTAGTGTAATAAAAATAAAAGTCTAAATTTTAAAATACTCTGAAATTATCTGTGATGTTTACTGCACTAGATAAAATGAAAGCCATACTGGTATATGTTTATTTCAAAATATTTTTAGCACTTAGTTCATAAGAACAAAGGAATACAAATAAATTTCAATCATGTTATTTGTGAATATGCATAAATAGATCGTGTTCCCCAAGACCTTTATCTTTGATAAGCAGATATCCTCTCACATAATCATAAAAAAGAGGGATGACCCAAGGGGTTTTGTGCAGAGAACCGGTATGCTTGGTAGCTTGATAATACCATCTAGAAGCAAACACTGATGCAACAGCAATTGCCAAAAAATAAATAACACTAATTCCCTTCCCCCGCTCTCCTCCAAATAATCAAACAAAAAAATTTAAAGGAACAGAGTTAGATGTCCTTTAAATGCAATACCACTAAATTGGAAATTTGAATTAATGCTCAGTTTCAGTTATCAAATTTAAGATTCAGGTAACAAAATGCAATGAATTGTCAGGGCAGGAACAGTAGATTATAGATTGAATATACTCACTTCTACACTTTCTTCTGCAATTGCATCTCCTGCTCCCAGCTTAATGGAACCACAACTTGCTTCATCTTCAACTTGCCTGTTACGAAAAGTCAATGCCTGCTCCCATCGACGCAGTGCTTCTTCAAAAAGCTCCATACCTAGGGGAGATCAGGAATATCACTGTTCCATCAAACACACAGCTTCCACATGAATTCACATTTTAGAGTCACAGGAAACTATGTAGCTAATAAGCATGACTATAGCAGAGATCTAAGTTTTTAAAACAGCAGCAATTCCCAGTCTAAAAGGAGAAAAAAAAAAAAAAAAAAGATATATCTCCTTCTTAATAAGATGAAGCCCAAAATATGATTAAAGCAACAATGTTCAATGTACTTTTTCCTACTTACTTTCAAAAATAATTTTATGGATTACTACAACAAATATAGGAATAAAAAAAATTTTTTTGAAAAGCTAACTCTAAATCAAATAAGACTTCATTATTTTATAGAAATCTTCTTAGACACATGCCAAGAGGACACCGTGAAAGAACACCACGATATTATCTAAGTGTCACTTTGCCATAAAAATAAGAAATAATTTACATTCGTTGTTGGTAGATGCTGAATATTCTTATTATAACTTACCCATCAAATATAAATTTTCAGGCGTGGTCACTGGAATATTGACAAGCTTAATATCATCTTCATCTGCTTTATCCCAAGAATTAGAATTGGCACAAGCACAACTGTGACAAGAGGTGGCACTCTGAACCTTAAAAAAACAAACACATTTTGAAGTGTTACTTTACAGAGCATCCTTAAAACTACATTCCTACCATTACAACCAAGCTCTCTGCCTAGATATGTAGCAAGTACAATGGCCTTCTCAGCATCTCTAGCCTTCTGCGCAGCTTGTTCAGGGAAGTTGTTACAGCTCAGTGAAACCATTAGGTGCATATTCAGTGCAAGTCAACAGACATTCAAGACCCTTAAAACACTTTTACTTACCGAGGCCAGGCTTTGTACTGAACCAGAGTATTTACTGAAAAGTCCTCCGTTTGCATAGATACAAGACTGAGATCCTTTTTCCTTGGCAGAGCTCAGAGAAAGAGTCAAGTTTTGCCGACTACTGGAACAACTAGAACCTAAGAGATACGCTGATTTTAAAGCTGCTGCAAACTCAAAACATTGTGTCTTTCATTAACAAGATCTATCAAGAATTGCATTTACTCTTTTCAACAAAAAACAGTTTAGAAGAAAACAACAATTATTCTTTTATTTACAGTTCTACGTGAGAAACTACAAATTAGAAGAGACAATATCTATAACAATAACCACGCATTTGAGCATAATTATTTTCCCATCCAATAAAAAAATCAAATCTGCTTTTCTCAGTATTGAGATACATCCACAAAAACAGCAAACCTCATTTTTAATGTACTATTGATAAAAAAAAAATAATCCAAATTCATGATTAAAATTTCACCTTTGAAAACAAGATCAGCTTATTTATAAAACACTGTAATTTTGTTCCGAATTTGCACAATGTCTACTTTAACAATTCAAACCTACTCCAAGGTTAAAGGAAATGAAAGCACTGAAGGAAAATACTTTATTTTACTACTACACACTGCTATGCACACCTATCCCCTTACACCCCTCTTCTTTCCCCTAAAAAAAACTTGGCGGTTCCTTCATGTACCTTTTTCTGATGCAGCTGCTTTTGTACACTCTAACACTAGATGACTTGGTTCCCACGGTGGCACTTTCTTGTTTTTCTTTCCACGTCTTCTTTTAAAATGATGGGCCAGAAAAATAACAGATATTGCACTCACTGCAGTTACCGTGAACAGTTTCTTTAACCCAGGGGAAAGGTTTACCTGAAAATAAAATAGTGTGACTTCATTGGAAATATATGCTCCTCAACTCCCACCTTTCCTCCCACCTCCTTTTGGTGCATTCAGCCTAAGCTATAGCTTGTCTGAGAGAGATAAGAGATGCTGCTCTCACATAGCCTGAGAAACAACCAACTCTGAGCAAGGACATAGACTAATTGCTTCTCAAAATTTGCAACAGTCAGTATGCAAGACAGTTTGCAAAGGGGCTGCTGTGATAAAGTGAGTGACTGCACTGAAAAACATATTGCAGCACCAAGAACTATAAGGTACATTGTAAATCCATGAACTATGGAGATCTAAGTAAATGCCTTCAGACAAACTTTTTTTTAAAATTTCTTTTTAATGCCAGGACAATGCAGGGCTTCAATTAATTCTATAGAAGCAAAAAAAATACTAGGAAGAAACTCACCCTTCACATCTAGACTATTTTCTGGCACAGTGGAGGATCCAAAACACTAACATTTGTATGATGTTTCAATTTGGGAAGAACACATATTTAAACATGTTGTTCACCAGAAGACTTCAGGCTGCAGCTCCAAAGCAGTTTGCTCCATCTCCCACAGCCAGGAGGAAATGGCCCACCTTTTGTAGGAAGGGCCTTCACCTTAATTGATTATGAATTCGTAGCAACTGGATCCACAATTCCCCCTTTTTGTTTACTAGTTTTTAGAACTTCATGGTGAGCAGAGACCCAGTTAAACAGAAACAGAATTCTCGCTTCCCTCTTTCAGGGTAGCTTTACCTTCTTTGTTGAAGCAATTCTTGCTCTGACTGGGTCTCTTTCGGGGTCTTCTTTATTATCATGTTGGGGTCACCAGATGTCGCTCACCAGAAGAAGGCTTCAGGCTGCAGCTCCAAAGCAGCTCCCGCAGCCAGGAGAAAAAGAGTATGAATATCCATCCAGTTGGTATGAATTTGTAATTATGGAATTAATTAAGGTTTAGGCCCTTCCTACAAAAGGCGGGCCATTTCCTCCTGTCTGTGGGAGATGCAACAGCCTGCTTCGGAGCTGCAGCCTTCTTCTGGTGGCCCTGATGTGATGATAAAGAAGACCCCAAAAGAGACCGAGCCAGAAGAGCCAGAGTGAGAATTGCTTTGACAAAAAAGACCCTGAAAGAGGGAAGTGAGAATTCTATTTACCCCAGAAGAGGGAAGCAAGAATTCTATTTAACAGGGTCTCTGCTCACCATGAAGTTCTAAAAACTAGTCAACAAAGAGGGGGAACTGTGGATCCAGCTGCTATGAATTTGTAATCAATTATGGCACCTTGAAGTTAAGGCCCTTCCTACAAAAGGTGGGCCATTTCTTCCTGACTGTGGGAGATGTAACAACTTGCCTTGGAGCTGCAGTCTGAAGCCTTCTTCTGGTGAGCAACATAAACACATTCCTCTAAATAAACCAAGAGTTTTTTTAATTGTTATGTTTCATTTTGGATATAGATCAGTCACAGGTTTACAAAGGTTTAAATTAGCAAATAAGAATCACATACACAAGCAACTGGAATTAAAAGCCATTAACCAAGTTTATAAAATTCAGAGTGACAAGATATACAAGGAACAAAAGAGACATTTAACTGGAAACTGGAATCCACATTCACAAAATCTTTAGGTAATCTATGCTGCTTGAGAAACAAGCTGCTGGGAGAAAGAAAAACAAATCGGCAGTCCTTGGGACTTATAAGGTGTTTCTGTAACATGTTTCCTCATACGACAGCAAGCTGGCCACACAGAGCATCACTGCATGTTGGCACTCCCTGGTTGCCGTGCAATTGGTTAACACTATCAGAGCTGTGTAATTTAAAGCAGCATTGAAAGCTTTGCCCTGCATTGAATTTACAATCAACCAGTCAGACACCTTCGACTTGAGAACCCTGTCCTTAGTGGTACTGAGGCCAAAAACTCACACTGTACTGCACAAGGAAAAGGAAATACCTGAAGCACAGTACAAACACATACTTACAACAGACTATTGTATTTCACAGAAAAGAGTTAATAACAAATAACTGAGATTAAAGCCTCAAAGCTCACAGAATTCAGTGCTAGAACTAAAGTTTCAAAGAACTGTAAGTGGATTTTTTAAATTTGTCTGTGCCTACAAGCATGATCATATGTAAATTAACAGTGAAATGAAAACCTCTAAGGAGAAGAAAGTTGTAAGTTGCACATGGTATTTGAAAAGGATATGAACACATCACAACGTAAAAAAGAAATCAGTGATCTTACAGTGAGAATTTTAAAGTATTCTAAATAGAGAAAAAAGGTGAAAATAATCAGATGCAGCTAAGATTAAGAACATCTCATTCTGGTTTTAATATACAGTAAAACTTTGAAAAGCATTTACATGCAAATATGAAAAATGACATAGCTTTTGCTTACAAGCATCTAATTCAATAAAAATAGAATACAGTCATATCAAAAACACAGGTTTTAAATGTAAAAGTTTATTAGGACCTGCTAATATCTATGTTTAAAAAAATATTATTGGCATTCCTAGTTATAAACATTTTTTTCTTTTGTTATCCTTGTCAATGATTCAGCATACACAGAATGAAAAAAAAAAATCTACTGGACCGTATTTTGTACAGCCAACTAGAAACTCTTTTTTTTCCTCCTGTGTATTATGGCATCAGATGTGGCTCACTCTTCAAGAAATTTATTCTCTGAGGGATACAACTGAAGCCTTAATATTTTCTCAAGTAATTCTCACTTATTTCAGTCTATCATTTATCACATATGTAGTTACAGGCAACTAACATCTCTCTTCTCTGATTCTCTACAACACAATTACAGCTCCTCCTCCCTGTCTCTGACATTAGGTGCTCTAGAGACAAACCGTATGATTCCCTGTAGACAAGGAGTATCAGCTTCACAATACTTCCAGCTTTCGTCAACCTGAAAACTAAGATCACAATGTACTCTTTGTCCAGATTTGAGTGACTGCTATACATGTTACTAGTGAAAAGTAGCCTATGTCGATGAAAGAAAACAAAAATAAATCACTCCAGGGCCATCTGTAAAAGGAAATACTTTGATTTGATAAGAGTCATGCTGTTGCAAAATGAAGACATATAGACACTGCAGATAAAGCTCTCTTCAGTCAGATGTACGATGACGCACTAAGCATTTATCAACAGAAAGACAAAAAAAAGTTTAGTTCAATGTTGTAAATAAACTACAAATCAAGATATTCTGTACAAATTTAATTCATATTAAGCTCAGAAGAGCGAGTACAATTTAGCAATTAAACTTCTAAACTTATAGCAAAAGTGACAATATTTAGAGTAATGTATATATTACCTGGTTAAGAGAATAATACCAAGAAAGGGGAAGGTGAAATACCCGCAAAGCTGCCGTCTTCAGAGAAAATCGTGCCTCAGTAACAGCTTCTTCTGACATGGCTCCTTCTCTCCCATAACCTCATTAAGTGGAACTATCTTGAAAACAGTCACAGACGGTCCCTGGAATACTCTGTCAAATGAAGGATACATACTAAATTATGCAATAGAAGCCCATGACAGCTTGCTTCTACACGTTCAAGTCTCTTACATAACAGGTACATGACTTGTTTAACTGATGTTTCTGACTTGTCCTTAATGAGAAGGCAGCAAATTGGCCGGCCGAGCTTAGGCCCCATTCCTTCCACCTGCTCTGTGCAGAGACCTGTACACGTGCAACCGGGATCTACAGAGGACTCCGTCTGCTTCTATCAGCTGGCAGTTCCCGTATTACATCCTCTAAATCACACATGGAAACAAGACTGTTTCTAAGATCACTATTGCTGGAAGAACACATCTGTCAGCTAGAAGAGCCAAAAGATCAGAGAGCAGCCGGAAAAACTTTCTCTCATTCAGATTTCATTTTTTTGCAGGCACAAACGTCATCTTCCCCATTAAAAGCAACATCCCCTTCACTCACTGATGCTAAACACAATAGCACGGTGTCAGGCGAAAGAACCGGGCGGGCCCGCGCGCCGAGGGAGCGGTCAGCTCTAACCAT